AGTATAATATATATATATATATATATATAATCTACAAATATTCTTCTAAAATTAACTTCAAAATTAAAACAATGCGAAATTATTGTAAATAAATACGAGATGCAAAAAAACTAAAAAATAAATAAATGCTAACAACTAATCTATAATAACAAATACAGATAGTTTTATGCTATGAACTATGTAGAAAAATAGAAAAATTTATAAATCTTTATTAGTGATTTCAAGATTTTACAAAATAAAAACATATACAAGTTAACAAAAGATAAATTTCATATTTATTTTACACAAAATTCTATTGTTGGAAAGATTGATATCATTGTTTATGATACATTGTAAGAGAAATGTTAGAAATGTCAATACCACAAATTGCTAGCATTAGTAAACAAAATATAAGATCTAACAAATTTGCCAAAGTACAAAAGAAAAAATATATACTTAGATTTTAAAATCGATGTATTTTTTATGTTGCAATTATTATTAGGATTTTGGTCATAATAGAATGATCAAATTTATAATTGGTATCGTCAAATTAGAAAATTGCTTTCCATCAATTATTTTAAAAGTAATTTTTCTATATTTTATTTAAGTTGACATCGATTTAATTTTAAAATTTACGATATTTTACTTAGTTTCTAACTAACGTATAATTTCAATTTTAAAAATAACAATTATATCACATTTTCAAAACATTATAAAAATTGTAAAAAATATAAAATTGCAAAACATTTTCAAAAAATGTAAAAAATTGCAAAAAATTGTAAAAATTGTAAAAATTATAAAATTGTAAAGTTCGTGATGAATTTGATAGTTATTTCGTAACTGGATGATTTTTTTTTTGGAAATTTCCTTTTTTTAAAAAAATAAATTAAAATTTTATAATTTTTTACAATTTGGTTTACATTTTTTGAAAATGTTTTACATTTTATTACAATTTTACATTTTTTTTTACAATTTTACATTTTTTTTACAATTTTTACAATTTTTATAATTTTTTTGCAATTTTTTTTACACTTTTTTACAATTTTTATAATTTTTACATTTTTTGAAAATGTTTTAAAATTTTATATTTTTTACAATTTTTACATTTTTTTGTAATTTTTTCCACATTTTTTATAATTTTTTTACATTTTTTCCAATTTTGTTTTAATTTTTTATTATTAATGCCACGTGTATCCTACGTGGCGAACACACACATGCCACGTAGGCGCCATGTAGGCGCTTTCTGCCTATGTGGCAAAATTAATCCTGTTCCGATGAGGATTTTGTTAAAATTTAAATTTCGAATGATTTTTTAGAAAAAAATTTCAAATCCAATATGAATTTGAAAATTTTAAAAGTTCGTGATGAATGTGATAGTTATCTCATAATTGGATGATTTTTTTGGGAATTTCCCTGAAGAATATTACGAGATATATCGTATAATGGAGATCTTATCAAATCCGGAAAATATATATTTAGGAATATTTATTATTATATGTACTTTACTTATTCAAATTTAAGATTCTCATCTATTTATATGTTATTTTGATTATCAATAAA